ATGGATATTTATTCTAAAAATGGAAGCTATCGCCTACATTTGCCAGAGCCCGAAGGGAAGGTACAGGTGTAAACAACCACACGGTTACATGTTCAATGGCAAAAACCCTTTTACTGGCCACTGCGAAACGCTTACAGTTCGTAAAAACACGGACAGCCTCCGCGGGGCTCCCCCACGCTCGCCCTCTACAGCAACTAAGACATACAATCATGAAACACTAAAAAGGTCTAGAACAGGCTGCAGTTCCTCAGTTACCATTTAATAAGTTTTTTTGTTTTTTTTTTTAAGGTTTTTTTTTATTTAACAAAAAAAATGTGCAGAAAAAAGACACCTACCCCAAGTCGCTAAGATCTCTTGGTCTGACAGACAACGCTGTGGCAGTTCTAGTTTATCCCCAGAAAAAAACTTTTTTTTTTATTTCATTTTTGTTTTATTTAAAAAGGACTATATAGCTTCAAAAGTTATTTCTGTTAACTGTGACAGCCCCCCCACCCCGCTTGCCCTGCTTTTAGTGACTCATTTCTTGCTGAAATCAATACAACAAACAAAAAATATTTTCAATATTCCTCAGGCCATCCCCACCACTGTCTAAAAGTAGTGTATGTCAAAACCTCAGGAAATATTGTAATGTGTGTGTTGCAAAAGCAATACATATTTAACCAAAGAGCTACCTGCCAGATGGTTTTAAATATACAATATTTACTATGCAATGAACACTAACAGCAATACTGACTTGACCCAACGCCTACTTAACTCTAAAACCAACCTTTATTGGTTTTAGGAGGAGACTGGATCATGTTCTAACTTCAGTAGAGTGATTCTACCTAAAACATTTCACTCAGATTTACTGAGAAAGAACCAATGTATCACTGCAGACCAATCAGTGGGCTAGACTGGAGTCTACTGGTTTGTAATATCTGATGCTTAAAAAAAAAAAGAGAAAGAAAGAAGAGACCCAATTTAAAAGCAAAAATTAAAAAAGTGTTTGAATTTCAAACAGTGAATCGCACAAGGAGTGGGGGGGGGGAGAGGGTGGGGTGGCTCCGGGCCCCAAGGGAGTGGGACCGGTTCCCCCAGGCAAACCCCGGGAACGATACCCTTCCGCTTCCCACGGGGTCACGCTGCTCCCTGGGAAACGGTCCGCGCTCCGTGGGGAGCGGGAGGGGGGGAAAAAAAAAAAGCAAACCAAAGCCAAAGAGACCAACGCTAAGGATTCTCCCTCCCGGTCACAGCCAGGCTGGTGCACGTGGACGCCCTGCGAAGCGGCCGCCCTCCCGCCCGCAGAGCCCCGCGACGGCTTTCTAGCAAAGGGTTGGCGCCGGAGCAGCTGAAGCCGCAGGCTCATAGTCTCCTTCGGATCCCCACGTTACGTCCCCTCCGCCCCGGGATCAGACAGCGTCAGAAACTCAACACTGGATTCCTCCCTCCACCCCGCAGCGAAGGGGAGGGCACGATGCACACACACACTCACCCGCTTCAGGCCGGTTCGCTACCACACTCAGTCGCCTTCCTGTGTTTCCTATATACACGCTCTAGCAGTTTATCAAAACCCCGGGGCACGTGGAGAAGAAGCGTGCCCACTTCGTACGGTATAAAATTGTCGCTATTCTCAGCACTGTCTCCTCACAGGTGAAGGTTACACACTGCATGGGTCGCCTATATACACATGACGCTCTAATGAAGAAAAGATCCTGCAGAAACCCTGAGAAATGTTCCTTCTCTTCCACTAAAGAGGACAGACAACTATACAGAGATGATTCAGCACCTGGCCTAGCCAGCCGGCCTTGGAGGGACCCACTGTCTCACCAACGCGGCGGTCAGCTTCGGCCAGGGAAGAACGAGAATTTAGGGACTGGCAAACCAAATTCCTGCGCTTCCTTCTGCCAAAAAAAGAAACAAACAACAAAAAGACGAGGTCCCAGTTCCACTTACAAGCTTTCAGGGAAATTTAATAGCGAGTGGGAGGGTGAAGCAAGCTGTGCGGCTTAAACTGCAGCTTCTGGCCCAGCACGTTACATCCTGCAACCTCTCCAGGCAAAGCCAAACACAGGGACATCCAATCCTTGGATTCTGCTGAGGCGGAAACAATCTCTTCTCCACCCAAGTCTGATCGGAGCCGCCCCCCCCCCAAAAACACACATGCACACACACGCGCACGCCACCCCTCACCCCAAAGACGGATCGGCAAAGGATTACCTGGAAGGAAATTAGATGTTGCAAGTGAAGGATTAGAGTCAACAGTTAATATCGCCTGCCCACCCCAAAACTGCACCTCCCGGTTCTTACATGTTCAGTTCCCATCATTGAGCGCGTCTTGCAAACCCTGCTCCTCCCTGTCCTGCTGCCAGTCCAGCTGCTCTAGGATGTTGTTAAAGGGTACGTAGTTCTCCTGCCCAATCACAGGGTACAGGACACGCAGCGCTAAGTGCTGCTCTCTCTGCGCAAACATTTTGATTACAAATATCTAAATAGATTTGAAATGTTTTATAGAATAAGACAATATTCTTTTCAACAAACTTTAAAAAAAAATTTACAGTTTCTTTTTTTCCTCCCCCCTCCCCCCGCCGCTGCTCTCCCCCCAACAGCCCTGTTTCCATTGGTTGTGTTTTGGGAAGTGGCAGACACCTCCACAAGATTCAGCTGCTTGGCTGAAGGGTGCAGACGGCTGGGATTTCACCGGTACCCTTGGTATCCATAGTAGTTCCTGTAGTATCGGTCTCTGTCTTGGTAGTAGTTCTGCCACTGGAAGGAGAGAGAAGCGGGTAGCGATTAACAAGGGCGCTCCGTTGGAAGGAGCGAACAAAACAGCATGCGCTCCTAGCGCCGCGTCCCCACCACCTCTCTCCCCAGCGTCCTCGAGCCAGGAGTCCTGCCCTGGCCCTCTCGCTAGCAGCCGCGAGCGGGAGTGCGGCAAGCAGCCAGGCTCCCTGCTGACACGATCCCCGGGAAGCTACGCCCAAGGCACAAGGCGGTGGCAAGGCACGCCGACGAAGTGGGCAAAAGGCTGCACTTGAGAGTCGTTACCTCCCGGTTGTACTGCCTGTAGTAATCTCGGTATCTGTTGTACTCATAGTCACGTCCATAGAATCTGTCGTAGTCCCCTCTGTATCGGTCATAGAAGTTGCGGTAACCCTGCAAAGACAGGAGCGCAGAGAACGTACGCTACGTAAGAGCCAGGCCCAGGGCAGGCAGATCCAGAGGGGACACTGCACTGCGCAACGCTTTGCTTTGAGTGCCAAAGTCCCTCCCACACTGACCTAAGAACCAGATCTGACATGAGCCAGGCATCCCAAGAGCCGGCTCTTCCCTGTAGAGCAGGGTTCACTGGCATTTACGGACCCAGATTCCCCTTCTCAGCCCGCCCACTGGTTTAGCGTGAAGTTAACCAAGGGATCAGCGCGCCTGGCATAAAAAACCAGGAGGGGTTTGCACTCACTCCTCGGTTTCCAGGCTGTCCCCAGTACTGCTGCTGTCCATAGACTCGATTGTCGTAACCTCGGCGCTGCCCACCAACTGGAAAAGAAAACAGGCCAAGTGTCAGAGCGTTGCCCAGCACAAACGCCAGCCAGCGCTGGCACAGCTCTGAGCAGCCTGGTAACCCTGCAATCCCCCAGCGGCAGACGCTGGCGAGCGAGCAGCAAGGGCAGAGATCAGATGAGCAGACTCTTCTGCGCAAACAGACCGAGGCTGCATCCTGCCTGCGAAGCGACAAGATGCAGGGAACCCCAGCAGCAAGTAGTTTATTTCAACGGCTCTCTAGGGAAAGGAGGGAGCAGTGCCTGAAAAGGAGGAGCACAGCATGGGAGCACCAGCCAGTACAAAGAGAAGGAACATGTTAATGGAACAGCTCCATATGGAAAAGAGGTGGTGAGCACAACCGATGCTACAACCAGACGCTACTTCGTGTGGGTACAGACCTAAAGGAGGTAAAAACAACGTTAAGTCGGCTTGTCACAGGGAGAATTACTAACGGAGAACAAAAAAAACGCAGGGTGATCCTTAAGCATGAAAGGGAAGGGACACTGGGCCAGGGTTTGAATCCAACGAATGCAGCGGGCAAAGCCATCTCCAAGCAGCGAGACACACAGAACAGAGACAAGCGTTCGCATCGGGTGGCAGCGGCTGAAAAGACTAACCCACACACAAGCCACGGAGGACGTAAGGGCCCGAGAGAAAGGGAAAACTGGAGTGGGAGGAGGGAGAGTGCTGCCAGCTGGTGGCACAGAGCCCACACCCAGAGACTCAGTCCTCCTCTCCAGTGCCAGCAAGGAGGAAGATCCCAATACGGGACTGTGCCAAAAGCAGCCACAGTAACCCCAAACCAGACGGCTGCCCTCCCTGGTGCCACAGAGCCTCACCATAGCCCTGGCCGCGGTTGCGGTTCTGGCGGTTACGCTTGTTGCGGTTATTGCGACGGTTTGCCCGTTTCTCAGAAGGAGGGAGCAGTTTTCTGGCCTCCTCCTTGTATTTGGTGACCAGAGGCTGGGCCTCCTCCTTTGTGAGCTCTCCATAGATGACTTCGTCTAAGTAGTCGTTCTTCTCTGGCAGAGAGTAGTTAGCTGCAGTGAAATGGAAAGAGAAAATCCTTGATGCAACAGCTGCTCTTCTCCGTTTCCCACACAAAGCCTGTGCCCATGCCCGATCGCTTTCACTGCTACTGAGCCCGAGGGCAGAGCCAGCCAGGTTCGCAGGCAGGCCGCTTTCCAGAGGTGCCAGCAAGCTCACCTTTCATTTCCAGCATCACTGACTCAGGGACGTCTTCCCCTTCAGCCTCTTTCCTCAGCTCCAGCCTCTTCTTCCAGTCTTCTTCGTTGGGAACAATCACAACCACCTTGCGGGAGAAACCCTTGAAGGCAAGCAGCTTCCGTCGCTGCCCAGAGTTGTACACGTTACACTGACGGAGGGAAAGAAACGGGTTTTAGCAACACCAGGCCTGGTGACGGACCCAGGCAGGGGCTGCCTCTCCGTGCCCCCCTGCACAAAAACCGTGCCTGTGGCTGGCCTTCAGCAGGGCTGGTCACACAGTTCCTGGGGGCTGTGAGAATACCTGGTCAAGAATGAAGTTTCTTTTGGCTCTGGGAGCAATCTGAACCAGCTTGCTAAGGCACTGAGCAGCTTGCTGGATTAACAGGTCTCTGCTCTTGGCATCCATCTCTTCCTCCTCCGGGCCTTTCGTCTGCCACAAAGAAAAGCAGAGATGAATCGGCGAGAGATGCTTCAAACCAAAAAAATACCGCACGCTCACCCTTCGCTAGCTCCAGAGCCCCTAGGAAGATCTGTCCAGTGCTGTTCCTGCTCTGAACAGCCTTCCTGCAGAACTGCTGCTTTGCCTCCTGCCTTCTCCCTTCCCAGCTTGGAGGGTGAAACCTCCCAGCAATGTGAGGTCCCTGACAACTTTGAAAGCAGAGGAAAATCCCCCTCTTTCGGCCCTCAGAGCCAAAGACCCCAGCCCAGTGCCTTTGCTACAGCATCGGGCAGCCAGCTGCACTTCCAAACAGAGCTCGGTTAGGCAGCCACTGCCTTCGCGATGCCCAGCCAGGCTGCCCCAGTCTGGAGTGTCCCCGGAGGCAGCGAGCGCTTACTCTCATCTGGTGTAGGACAGTCTCTGTCCCCAAGATGTTGTATCGCTTCTCTCGGTTCTCCTCGGTGTGTTTTTGTGCCCACTGGGTCTTCCCCGACCCTGGCAGCCCAACCATCAGCAGCACCTTAGGGAAAATAGCAGCCAGAGGTGAGACAAGAGAGGCAGGGCAGCCGCACAGAGCACAGCAGCCAGCCCGTGAGACCGCGGAGCGCAGCCACAGGCCGGCAGGTCGGGCACGCTCCTCGGCAGATGCCTGGCACCGCAGCTCAACTCACTTGCAGAGCCCCTCAGCAGGTTCTGCAGCCTAGTCCTGCCAGGCAGCAGGGCAGAAAGAAGCGTCTTACCTCGCACTCCTCTGTGGTTTTGGGGGGAAGCGGGGTGCGCACTCGGTCCTCGACTGGGACAGCATGAATGAACACGTAATCCTCAGGAACGGGGAAGAAGGGCTCTTCCTTCTGACCGAAGTTCAGCTCGACCACGCAGTTTTTGCACAGCACGTGAGGCAGGAGGGCTCTGTCAGCAAGGGATTCCTTGCTGATCTGAAAGGCCACCCCCATATCCTCCCCATTCTTGGAGAAGGACAGCTCCACCATCTCTTCATTCTCGAAGTTCTACATGGCAAAGAACATAGGCATTTGTTGCTGCAGAGCCCTCGCAGTCTCCTCCCACACCCTCTCTCCAGCGGGGTTTTCCATCAGCTATTTCCTTGTTACGTTTCCTTTCCTTTCCCTCTCCCCTAGATATCCACCCCGGTTTGCATCTACGGCACTTACAGCAAAGCAGCCAATCACATCATTCTCCCCAAAGGGTTGGCCAAACTCCTCAAACTGCCCATTTTCGGCCTTCAGCCCTCGTCCATCGTAGCCATAAGAAAACTCATCCTCCCCTATGAGAGGACAGCAGGTGTTAAGACACAGGTCTCCACACGCTACTAGAGCAGTACAGAGCTGTTTGCAGACCCGTGCTTCGCAGCTTTGTGACGTATCTGAGCTCACAAGCGACGTGACAAGAAAGAGAGCTCCGTTACCTAGCTGTGAGTGAGAGAAATCCACAGACCATCCAACGCGAAAGAGGGGGACCTCCGTACTGCCTTCCTTTACGGGGAGATACTGTGTCACCTGCGGAGATCAGAAAAGGTCCGTTGACTGGCTGCAGAGGGGAAAAAGTCAGGAGACAGCCTAAAGGACACAGTTAAGCTGTTACTATCAGACACTAATTAATGCAGCTTTCTAAACCTGTTCCATAGGAAGTCAGCTGGGTGAAGGCTTTAGTACAGAGGACAGACCACGGACAGATGACAAGCATCCAAACTGCAAGTACAGCAGTCACGTATTCTCACAAAGTGCCAGAAGGGGCAGTCGCACATCATTTGCCCCCTAAGTTTAGGGCAGGACTCCTGTGACCCGCTCCAAGATACAGGGAGAACCTGTATCAATAACCCCAATACTTTACACCTAGAATTTGTTCTTCTCGCATATGCCCCCTTCAAAGGGCAACACAAACCAGGCCGCTTAGGCCACATTAATTCTGGCTCCTGACTTCCACAGAAGCAGATCCAATGCCACCCTTGACTGCGAGCAAACTGGTTGTTTCTAGGAGTCTTTTTTTCCAACTCTGTAGTTCCACTTTTCCCTCATCTCCATGCTGCGAAAACCAAGTATTATTGTTTCCCCATCTGCAGTAGGTTCAAACACACCACAACCCCATCAGGAGCCAGAGATACAAGAGAACTTCTATCCTGGTGACCAGCATCTGCCACAGGCAGTCACCCCACCTTCGCCTCGAAGCAGACTTTCCCCTTGGTCACTCCATGAGTGCTCCTTGCTCCAGACCAAAGGGAAGGGAATTTCTCAAAGAAGAGAGGCTGTCCCCCATAGCGATCTTTGCTGGCTTTGAAGTGGAGGTCAGAAGTATCTGTCAAAGAAGAGATCAGTTTAGACTAAACCACTGTCATCCAACCTACTGAAAGGGCATCCTACCCACGCGACACTGATCACAACCTACATACCTCCAGAGGGAAGCCAACTAGTCCATTTTTTGAACTCTCCTAATCAGTTAACATTGTTCTCTGTTACAGTTATTGGCTGGCTTTGAGGACAACACAATGTTGTTCTACAGACGCTACGTTTGTCCATCCGCCCCAAAGCACGCCTTGGGTTACCCCAAAGAACGCTAGCAATGTAACGCAGAGCAGCAGAACAGTTCCACGTAAACTCAGTCCTCTGGTGGCTTGTAGCAACAGCAGAACTGTATGCTCTCAGCCACTGTGACAACTGTTTCCTCCAAGTTACACCATTTATAAATACACCCCAACTTGACACGAGTAAATTCAGGTCTAAGTTCCGCATACATACATGTGTCCAGGATGACAACAGTTTCATCATCTTCTCCTTCTCTCGGTTCTTCTTCTGGCGGTGGGGGAGACTTGGACCTGTACAATTAGGCGAAGGAAAAACAGAAAAAGTGAGACAGTGCATGCAGAACTGAGAGCACTGAGAATACAGTCAGCCGCAGACTGTAAAAAAAAAAAAGACCTGCTGCCTTCAAACAGCAAATCCACCTCTGTTACATCCCAGCATTTCTGGCAGGTTGATTTAACCAAGCCGCCAGATCAAATGAACTGATTATTGTCTGGAACAGAACCTGGACTTCCAAAGAGAAAAGGGCAAAGGATTTGCCTTCTACTCACCGACTGTTGTAAGCCTCCTCTCGGAACTCATAATAAGCACGTCCATGCTCATCTTTTTCATCGCGTTGTCTCTTAACTCCTCTCCGCTCTCCGTCGGAGCCTGCTGGTTTTGACTTGTCATCTTCATCCGCTGAGAGAGGCAAAAAAGCATCAGCATCTTTTACTGACTGAAAGTGGCGAGATCTACAGAATTCAACATCAAAGTCCTGCAACTTCCACCTGCCTCACATACCCCCTTCTTGGAGTGAAACACACCCACAAAGCACCAGGGCCTTGCAGCTTCTGTAAAGATCAATTATTCCACTTTAAAAAGTGGTTGAAGGAAGGTCTTCAACTTAAGTGACCGATAACGCTCAGATCGGCGTAGCCAAGAGCTTGTAACACGGACGCCTGCGTTTTCAGGCTCTTCCTTGCGCGCAGGTGACATTTCAGTTGAGTTGTCTTTGCCGTTCTCCTCTCTACAATCATTTTCCCTTTTGTTCACGAGGATCTCCCACACCACAACTTGGAAGAACTCCACATTTCAAAAGCAGAATGTAATGCTATATAAACTAACGCTGCCAGAGGTATCCAGGAGCAGATAAACCTGAAACCCTCTGCAAACTTTATTTTAAAGCTCGTTAGCCTCAAAGGTAACAGCTGTTCCAGTATCTCCAATCAATAACGCGGACACATACTAGAAACCGTTAATAGTCTTCAAAGAGCATAATTTTACATTTAGATTCTCACCAAACACGACAGAACTCGGGTTCAACGTCCACTAGTTAAATAATAACAGTGAAGCCAAAACCACTAGCAGGGCAAAGAACTAATTAGGTGCTCACCAGCAATATTCCATGCTGCTCTTGCAAGTCCTCAGCCAGCAGAGAAAAGGAAAATTTCTCCATTTTTGCATTACTCAATGAATACAAAAGAATATAATCATCTAACTTCTCAATTGTATGTTTAAGTTCTACATTTTCCTTCTTCTCCAAGGCCCGGAAGCAGGAAACTTTTAGTCCTGGAGCTAGTGGTATTCTAACAAGTACTTTCGCTTTAGCCTCAGTGAAATCAATGGGCACGTAGCAGCAAAAGAAATCATGCCTGCAAGTCAGCTCTGCAGCCACACGTGCATGTTTTGTAAAAACAAAAACAACAAAAACCCCAGAGCCCCCAAAACAACAACCAAAAAAAAAACCAAACAAGCAAAAATCCCCTCTCGAAACAACACTAGCCATCTTTTAGAGAGGGCGTTTGTTTTTTTGAGTAAGCCATAAAAACAAAACACTCGTAAAAAGAAGACGGATTATGTCACGCTTTCTAAGCAAGTACTTTCATTTACTATTTGCATTTGACATTTCATGACTTCCTAACGACCAAAATAGAGGGAAGCAGCTACACTAAATTCATTTTTTGTAAATAAGCGTATCCAGCAAACTTCATGCTGAACTTTTTACCGCTTACTGTCAGAAGAGACTTCTTTTCCAAACAGCAACGACCTGTTTGCCGCAGATATCCAAGAACAGCTTATGAGCGTTTTCCCTCGTAATACTTCTCAACTCGGGCATCACGTAAGACGAACCGTTTCCTATTTTCATTCTGACTCACTGAAACTAGAGACTCACTCAGAGGAGGGAACTGCACTGGCACCTAGAAGGGTTTCCAAAGTAACGCTGATCTCTATTTTAGAGTTTCTAAACAACGGGATAAAGAACAAAGCCACAAAGCCTTGGGAACCACCTGGGGCCACGGCACTTGTAACAGATTCTCACCGACCGCCCCCCCCCAACCAGCCTGCGTCAGCGTTGGGAGGGAAAAGGGGTCTGGACTCACTCGGTGCTCGGGGAGATGTCCATTGGGGGGGAAAGTCAGGCTGGAAACAACCCTGACACGCCAGGTGCGGACGCGAGTTACGTGGGGCAAAGTTGCCTTAGCGGGCGCCCGTATACAAGACGTAAAGGTAAAACTAGTTGGACCCAGAACGCATATGGATACGCGAGCAGAACAAAGCAGATCCTGACCACGCACGGGGAACTCGCAGACTAGAAACAAGCCAGGCCTCCAAAACATTCAGGGCATCTAAACTAGCCCGAGAAATGCGTGCAGACCTAGGTGTGTGTAGGGGACGGGGGGGAGGCTTACGCAGGCAACGCAAGGGACTTAGCGCGAGTGAGGATCCTCGTGAAGGCCTGGAGGAAGAGATTACAACCACAGCACGCGAGGAGGTGCGAGGCGCAAGGGGCCAGGACGCAACAGAGCGCGTGGAAGTCAGGCTTAGTGTGGTGGTCATGCAAGAGGTCCTCCGTGCGCAGTGGAAAGCAAGGGGGAAAGGCGCGACGGATGAGATAAAGGCCCTGGACACGCAGCAGGCTAGAGACAGAGGCGCAGCCTTGGCGGGGGGGAAAGCAGGAATTGGATGAAGCGGGACAAAAAGGAGGGTCCAGGCCCGGGAGCCCACCCCGCTCCCACCCGCGGTGCTCACCGGCCTGCGCGCCTTCCTCCTTGGCCTCGGCGGCCACGGCCTCGTCGCCGCTGGGGCCTTCCTCCCGCGGGCTCCCCGGCG